GGGGGGGGTTCAACTTTCAGTTCAACATAAAAATAAAAAATAAAAAATATATGCTGTGTGCACCTGGCCCATATGCGGCCCCGCAGCGCGCACCCCCCAGCGCACCCGCGCTCGGCGCACCAGCCCTGTGCGCAGCGCATCGCGCACAATGCACCCAGGTGCGCGCGCACCTCGGGTCAGCGCGCTGCGCAGCGCACAGGGTCGATGCGCCACAAGTATGATATATATATCTATTTAATTTGGTAAAGAATTTCAATGTGACCCTGAGGCAAAAGTTCTTCAGTTTATTTTTTCTGCATAACATAGTTGTTTTTATTTGCTGGGACCTTCCCTGGTCCTTGCCCGGCCAGGCCGCACGGGAAAACAGGGTGACCCAAGCGGCCCGGCTGGTAGCCTAGTCTGTAATATTATGTACTGTACATGACTTGTTTCCAAAGCTTCTGCTACCATTTGACTCGAACAGCTCGAACAGCTAATGTTGCCTGCCAATGACACCCAACGCTTGAAGGGGAGAGGGAGACGGGAGAGAGAGGGGGTGTGGAGGGCGGGAACCTCCATCCTTCAATCTGGTACAGAATATGAATTCAGTACTTATACAAAGATCGAATTCGTCTTTTTGTTGTGGATTTTCATTTGTTTTGTAAATGCTGGTAAACGTTTTTGTTCCAAAGAGTCCAGAGATTCCAAACCCCACAGCAATACTCCATCCGGACATGAGCGAGAGGATTCACCGAATCTCACCTGCATAATTTCCCCTGCATCATCCCCACACATGTGCATGCCAACAACAGTGTCGGTCTTCGCATCCACGACCATCTTCATAAATGTGCGGTCCGGCAAACCTGAGAGCGTAGCCTTCATTGGCCGAAAATTTGAAGTGTACACATCGACATCTCCATACTGCTTAATAGCGTCTTTTTCTGTCAGCCCAACCGTTCCAATGGGTGGCTGCGTAAACACTGCAGACGGAACACATCTGGTCGGACAAAATAGGACCAAGGATTGGCAGAAAAGGGGGAGGAGGGGAAAAAAGAAAGCAAAGCGCAATGCATCAGCCATTCTGTTCATTTTTTCTTCGCATGGGTTCCACCATCTTCCTCCTTTTTCTTAAACCACCAGCACTACCTTTCAGAGCGTAAGATAGGGGGTCGAGAGGCTGCGGGGGCCACCGGACCAAAATGGCTGGCAGCACCAGCCAATAGCAAAGAAAAACGGCCGCTCCGCCTCGGCAAAAAGAGGCTCGGAGGTAGTGGTGGGGTTTAAGGTTGTGCAGGTTTGGAATAGGATAGAAGTCAGCCCCCATTGTCAATTTCACCATATTTCCGTTTTGCAAAACAAGGATGGTTTTTTCTCTGATGGCCCGTGATGGGCTTTTTTGAACTCTTCGCAGCCTCGACTTCATCTTCAGCCAAACATTTTTTCGTATTCTACTATTCTTTAATGAAGGGAGTTGAGCGCATGATCTATGTATCAAAGGTTACATGTGTACCATACAGCCCCACCACAGAGCCAGTCTAACTGGACACGGACCCCAATGATGAACATATACAGACTATCTTTTCAGTCCAGTACGGTCATGACGAACACGAGTTGCGTTTGAGGGAAGACAACAGCAGCAGCAACACAGTATAAACAAGATTCAGCACTGCTCTCTTTCAAGCACATGACCGTTGCTCAAGAGTTCTTCTGCATCTCAAACCCTTTCTATGATTAAGGGGGCTGGGCTGGCAAAGACATCTCTCATCCAGACGCCAATGCCTGAACTGTAACCAATACTAACAATGTAAATTAAATTACTGACACAAATCTCGGTACTGTCCGATCGACTCCAATCGCATCCTCCAAAAGTGCGCCGACAGTCCAATCCTTCCAGAGCTTTGCATACATACTCCCCATCATTTCCAAAGCTGTGTAGCGTCCAATCCAATCGGTTTACAAGCTGCGCACACCGTTCAACCATCATATCCCTTCCGCATAAGCGGTTAACAGAACCCCCACTTTTCAGCCCTTCCGAGGGTCACACCAGTACAGTTCACCAATTTGCATGCCCATTTTCTTTCCTCCCTCTCTTTTTTTCAAGGGCGGCGGCCTCAAGATATCATCATTGAAGTGGATCAAGTGATTGAACTGACCAGGCCCAGGTGGTTCAGAGATATTTTATTCTGGTCATCTTTGATTGTATCTGGGTTCGAACTTGGGTCTGTATTTCAACAGTTCATGGGCGTACCAACTGAGCTAAGCCCATTGGTCGCATGCCCATTTTCAACCACCCCAAGTAGGCAGAACCCCGTCACAGTTCGGAAATCCCGGGACTGGGTTCAGCGTCGGGAGGTTCGACAATTTAGGTAGGAAACCGAGGTTTTTTGTTTTTTTTAATACAAGTGGAACCCGCCACGGCGTAGCCGTGGCGCACAGCAACACTCGCTGATGGCATCTCATTTTTCTTTCATGTCTCTCTTTCTCTCTTTCTCTCTCTCTCTCTCTCTCTCTCTCTCTCTCTCTCTC